AAAAAAAAGTGAGCTTTTACAAGATTGAATTTCCCTTCTGGGATAAATAAAGTATTTTTCATTTCATTCATGGCATTTTATTACAGAGACTGGACCATGTCATGGGGATTAAAGTAACTGCACAAAACTGGTTTAAATCATATTTATTAGACTGTTTCCAGTTTGTTTATGTTAATGATGATTCTTCCACTCACACCAGAATGACTTATGGAGTTTCAAAGGGTTCTGTGTTAGGACCAATATTGTTTACTTTGCACATGCTTCCCTTAGGTAATATTATTAGGAAGCATTGTATAAATTTCAGGCTGCAAGGTGGCACAGTTGGTAGCACTGTTGCCGTGCAGCAAGAAGGTCGCCGGTTTGCGTCCTGGTGGGGGCACCGGGATCTTTCTGCATGTTCTCCCCTTGCAGCGTGGGTTATCTCCGGGTTCTCTGGCTTCCTCCCACACAGTCCAAAAACAAGTTGAGGTTAATTGGTGATTCTAAATTGTCCATTGGTGTGAGTGTGCTTGGTTGTTTGTCTCTAAGCGTAGCCCTGCAATAGACTGGCGACCTGTCCAGGGTGTCCCCTGCCTTTGCCCTAAGTCGGCTGGGATAGGCTCCAGCCCCCCTGCGACCCTAGTGAGGATTAAGTGGTATATAGATAATCGATGGCTGTATGAATTTCTATTGTTATGCAGATGACACCCAGTTATATTTATCTATAAAACCAAATGAAATCAAACAGTCAAACTCTGGGCATGTCTTAAGGACATAAAGGCCTGGATAACTTCTAACTTTCTGCATTTAATTTCAGACAGACAAAACAGAGGTCATTGCCATCGCCAACTGCTGGCTCATAGGAAATCCAATGCCAGCTTTGGATTGTTGAGTTTTCTGTATAAAATTCGTAAGGTGTTGGTGGCATGTCAATAAAACAAATTGAATTGAAAGATTGTATAGCATGAATATAGCATGGTTTTATACACCCTGATCTCTTATTTGGAACATAACTTGCTCCTAGCAGGTAGACATTTAGTATAGGTTATCATGGAGATGTACCATTTTACTCTGACAATAGGAAAGCATAAGTCAACCCAATTTACCAGTATATCTGACAATCTTTATGAGATTACAAAGAAAAAAAGCCTAATATAAGTTTGTAGTTTGTATACAACAGATCAATTTATTAATTCTTGTCACACAATAGAAGTGTGCATCCCCAAACAGAAAAGTCAAAAAATTTCTACAGACAGCCTGCCTTAGTTTCACTGTCAGGTCTCTGTGATCCAGTCAGCCTTAAGGGCCACAGACTGAGGCTGCATATAGTCTTTTAGACTGTGGAAGTGTTAACACACAATTTCTACTGAGAGCTACAAGAGCCCAGCAAATTAATTACCAAAGAAGAATAACGAATGCACTACCAAAACCTTAGAAATGATAGACAATAATACAAACCAAAAGTATTAGAAAAGTACACGTTTGAATGTGCTTGACGAATTTTCTGCATTACAAATATTTTCTATTGCACATAAATATAGATTGTTTTCCTCTTCACTTGTTCACCGTTTAATGTTGCTGTTCTAGACACATATCAAAATCTGTCAAATTATGGTTGTGGGGTGGAGCCAGAAGTAGGGAAACACTTCAATTTTAAGACGTCAACAACAAAATCAGAGCATGAAAAAAATCTAAGTGTAAATATTCATATGAGATAAAGCTAAAGATAAATCAAATTTTTCAGAGTGAATAAAAGAGAAGCAGTAGTGAACTGGAAACAATACAAATATAGATCTGCCAGAAAAAAGAATTTGCATATCACATCTACCCACAGCCATTTAAATACTCTCTTCACTATTTCTTACATGTATATATAATATACAAAACCATTTAAGTCACTCAACAAATCCTATCACATTAAGGAAATGATTGCAGGCAGAAAAAAAAAAAGACATCACGCTGAGAGTTCAGGGTGACAAACTAGAAAATGGAACAAAAAAGTAACTGGTAAAATTGTTGCATATATAGCATTAGTCAACACAGACACAACCCCGAAAGAACATTTCAAATAAGCAGCAGAAACACTGGCTACAACAAACACCAACCAACACCATTACAGATTTCAGACTAACACAGGCCAGTTGGCCAGCTACTTAATCTAGGAAGCAGTTGCCTTTAGTCTGAGCTGAGGTCTGAGAAAAGAAAGAGGAGCTCCTCCAAGCTGTCAAAATACAAATAAAACACCTCGAGGTGCTCTTCAAAACCTTCAAAATAACAAGGCGTAACATCCCAGTAAGCATGTGTAGCTGCTTCAGAACATAATGTACGTACCTCCACTGCCTGCCTCCAAGTTTCTGAATGGTTAGCCACCATACTAGTTTTCATTTTTTTATTCAAGAATTTTAGCAATAACACATGAATGAACAAAAACACAAAAATATATTGTTCCATGTGTTCATTTTGGGCTTTTATTTTACTAGTCCCTCTTTCTTTCTTTCTGAAGATTGAAGAGGTAGTTTCACATTCAAAAAGGGATAGGGATAACAATTTGGAGTTACTAGTTCCTAATTGTAACACAAACATCATTTAAAATGATTTTTATTATTTATTTATTTTACTGGAAGCCAAATGAACATCACATTGCTGCACTAATTTTTTTTTTCTCCTTTCATTGGCTGTTCATGGCATCAACCACTTACCAGTAGGATGTAAACCAGCAAAGCTGAGCACTTCATTCAGGTTCTAAGTCTTAAACATCATCAAGGAGTTAAATGTGGGCCTACTTTTCATCTCTATGATACTCCAAAGTAGGTGTAGTTGTAAAGGCATAGGAAAAGTGAAAGTCTAGGTAATGAGCTGACCCAGATCTGAGAAAAGGTCCCAGGAGAGCATGCATTCCAGGAGAATACCGTCTCTCAGGAAGAAGATAGCAGGTGAGGTGGAATTAAAGCTGGAAACCCTCCATGGGTCCTTCCTGTTGCTGGAAGACAAACTGGCCTTGATTCTGGTCCACCTGTGGAGCCAGGCTGGCATCATCCTCCTCCACACCAAAGTAGTGTTCAATCAGGTCGAAGGCTTTCTGGTAGATCTCCTGGTTTTCATGACTCTGCAGGAATTCAATCTTGTCCAGGCCTGCATGGGGGGAACCACACATACTAAGCTTAATGTATTTCTGAACTATACTTCATGCATGCGACACAAGTATGACAGGAGTTTCCAAGTTTCCACAAGATATTTCTTATGAAGGCTGATATTTTTTGAATGACATTTTGCTGGCTTGACACAATGTTTCATTAAGCAAAGGTTTCCCATGTCTAGCTAATGAAACATAACATGCATTGCATTAGTTCCTTACATGACCTCAAATGCAATTATCCACTACAAGAAAGGACGCACTATTAAAAGGTAAGTAAAGGTGTAGTAGACAGTACTATGACTCTGAGTCACAACTTGTATTTCAGTATGACAGTGTGATTTTCTTGTGATTTTCACCTGTTCGGTGTTCTCTCCAGTATGTGGAGTTGCAAGTGGCAACTGGTGATTAGACCTGAGACTAACGGCACTTACTTTGGCTTGGCATCCACCAAGGCCGGCTTGGCTTGACCCTTTCTGGATCTCAACTATACCATGCTGTGCTGTTACCAGACTGTGCTGAGCTGCCAAATGATCATCATTTTAGCAGCATGAGATTGATCTTTGTTGTAAATAATGTAGACATCTTCAACAAAGCTGTTCCGGTAGCTATAGGAATGAGAAGCCCGTTTTGTTGGTAGCTTTTTGTACTGTTTATGATTAGGTAGGCATGTGGGTCATACTTTGTCAGTTCAGACAGAATTCAGGATATGTGTTGCTTCACCCTCTGAGATTTTAATCAGAGTTTACCTATGGTATTTAAGACCCAAAACACAGTTCTGTAAATTCTTTTGGCTGAAAATCAGGCTTTTAGACCTGACATTTTTTGTATTTACCCTAAAATAAAAAGAAAAAAACATTTAACTGGGAAGTAATTTAAAAGGTTAATTATTTCCAGTAATATAACTACTACAACCATGAAATTTGGCAAGGACAAAGAAATAACTGTTTCCAGCAGATGATCGAATAGTTGAAACAGAGTGCTTAAATCAACAGCCATTAAAAGTGTAAAAAAAAAAGAAGCAAAATTTTCAATCAAGTGTTGTATTTGGGCCCTAGAAAATACCTGCAGGTCTATAAATACATGAACACACATGACATTAAATCGTATGTTTATTGAGACACATCATGGTGTTGGACCTTACCATCACTCTCTGAATAAAGACAGAGGCCTACATTTAAAAGCAAAAGCCTGATAAGGAAGAGAGGGGAAAAGAGACAAAGAAATGCCACCAAGTCCACCAGGTCACTCAAAATTACACCTGAGAGCATGACCTGGTGTTATGTATTTACTTAAAAATAATATTTTTGTAACAAATATATTACATGGGTAATATGGTGCAATAAGCACTATTTTTTGTTGGGTTAATACACAGCATTCCGCACTACGTATATGTGCTTAGTCAGCGGATCGTTAGGCGACGATTGTGATGTGGCACTTATTCAGTAAAGAAGCATTGGAACCTTACTGTGAGTCTGTGCTTCTTATAAAAGGTTATGTTAAGGGAATAAACAGAACACCTGGTTTGAATCAGAGTCCTGGCCTCTCACTGGACGGGTCTTGCAAACACAGCGGGGACTCCCCTAGACAGAGCCATGAGGTCAGTGCTTAGCGGCGCCACCTCCTCGCATTCCTCACTGACAAGTCTATAGAAGGGACTCCAGCTTTAAGTCAGTGGTTGCCGTAAGGGAGCAATTAAATGCAAATGTTTGAATTACTTTTGACCTAGGCCGCAGTTCTTACAATGCTGGACAAGGAACAGACTGCTCCAAGTCTTTTAGCACACTTTCTGGATCCTTGGAGACGCTAAGCAACCGAGCCATTTCTCCATACCTCCAGCAGAAGATGGATTTGCAGAGGCCCCACTTCTTCAACTGAGTTGACTCTGCTGATCCTTTCCTGCCATGCCGAGGACAACAAAACCCATGCATTTAAATGAACGGATCAACAACCTGTCGGAACCCATGCTACGAGCTACAAGCGAGCCAAAGTCAGAGAGCTTATGTTTGAGCTGAGACTTAACACCAGGACCGCTGTATCCTTCTTTAAGGTCGACTTTCTATACTGTTGCGGCTAGAACCTTTATTTATTCATTTATTGGATAATTGCTTCTAGTTTGTGTTGTCGTGTCTATGCTTGCAATACGTCGCGTTTCTAACCAAAGACCAGCAGGCAGTAAAAGAGTGTCAGCTCATTGACCAACCTTTGAGACAGAGAAACAGGAATATTGTGTCATCCACAACTGTTGTATCTCACAGCGCTGTGGAGCATATGTTCTCTCCTCTTTTACTAACCCACACTTACACTCACATATCTCCACACTGTCTTAAAACGTTACACGTGCCAATAGAGATCATCTCCCTAGCAGGGCACATAATCCTCATTCTTAACAGACATGTGTCCCAGGTTCATACAGTGTGTTCAGTTTCGCTGTCCACCACCGTGTGTGCTTTGATGCAAGACATGGAGCGAGCTGGTTGATCGTCTGAAGGGGAAAACTCATAGTTTGGGTTTAAAATACATCTTTTGTGACACTAGTCCTGGAACTTTTTTTGACACATCTCGTATATATACAGTCGTGACTTGAACCTTAACAATCCGAAAACCTTGCTATCCAACAGGTTTTTAGGAAAAACGAAAGAAACCCATAAAAAACAGCCTTAACATAACGACAGCCTTGTATTCCGACTCTGATGTGACATTTTATGTCTCAAATAATGATAACGGTGTATTATCTGACTTAACGTATCCAACAGATTTACTTACCTTTGATGTTGACCGACGGGCCCGTGCAAAAGCACACCAGTCAATTAGGCGTTAAATCCAGCAATACACTTATCTAACAATACACTTATTCTCACACACCTTTTCAACCTGAGCCTGCATCTAAAGAGGATCCCCACGCTGTGGAAAACATCCTGCTTAGTCCCTGTCCTCAAAAAGAGACACCCCACTGACTTTAACGACTACAGGCCTGCTGCCCTCACCTCACATATAATGAAGACTCTTGAGAGACTGGTCCTCTCCTACTTAAGACCTAAGGTGAGGACATTCTTGGATCCTCTACATCAATAGGTTGTTTGCTAACTGCCAAAAAAAAAACTCAAAAGAAGACCCATCGAAGTAGCGTCTATGGCCGCCGCTGGGAAAGTTAAACGCAAGTTGTGTGACGAACAAGGGACGTTCCAGCAGTCATGGGAGGAAGAATTTGCCTTTGTGTAAGTAAATAACAAGCCAGTGGCCTTCTTTGCCAGAAACAGTCCATTCTAAAATGTGCAAATCTCCAGCGCCATCACGACAGCTGTCACAAAGACTTCAAAGTTGACTGTCCACCAGGCAGCAATTTAAGAAAAGACAGAATATGCAGTCTCATTGGAAATCTTAGTAGTCAACAAACTGTTCTGAGATTCAGCTGTAAAGAAAGTGACAGAATCACATAGGCATCATTAAAGGAGTGTGGAATGTAGCATTGAGTCAGCGGCCTTTCACTGAGTTAGAGCTGGCAAAAAAGTGTTTCCCTGACTGCAGTGAATCCCTTTTTGCTGAGTTTAAAAACAAAACTGAGATCAGGCAGATATAAAAACTGCAACTTTCAGATTCAACCCTCAGCAGACGTGTGGGAAACATTTCAGGTGATTTTTTCATAAAATTGATTGACGATCTTAAGAAAAAATGCACCACCGATACGGTGCAACTTATATGATATGGGCTCGGTTTCTTAATGGCGACACATTTATGGAGGAAATGCTTGCTCTTTTGCCATTGACTGGTCAAACAAGAGGAGAGGACATTTTCCGGGGACCAGGGAGAGAAATTGATTTGGGGAAATTGGTGTCAATTACCACCAGTGGCACACCGTCAATGGTTGGAAAAGAAAGAGGGCTTGTTGCATTACTGAGAAAAGAAGACGCATTTCTGGATTTTTTGCCTGCCACTGCATTCTTCACCAAGAACAGCTCTGCTGCAAACTCAAATGTGGTGGACTGAAAACAACGATGGGTAAAGTGGTGAAAGTTTTTAACTACATTAGAGGCCATGCTCTTAAGCACAGACAGTTTTGCACCTTGGTCGAAGAACATGACACATAATGTTAAGACCTGACGCTAGACGCCAAAGTGCGATGGCTGAGCAGAGGCATTGTACTGGAGAGGTTATTCAAGCCTTCATTGCGCAGAGAAAGCATACCGATCTGTGTTATGTCAACGATGAGAAGTTTGCACTGGAAGCAGCTTTTCTGGGAGACATAACCAAACATTTGAACTCCCTAAATTTAAAGCTCCAGGGAATCAACAAATTGCTGCCTGCTTTGGTGAATAATGTTTCTGCATTCATGGAGAAGCTTTCTCTTTATCAAAACCAGCTTGGTGACAATGATTTTACGCACTTCCCAAACCTACGTTCACATGTCAGTCAGTTGCGCAGCATCTCATTTGAACCTGCTATCTGTGTTCAGTATATGAATGAACTTGCCAGTGAGTTTTCCCATCGTTTCAATGACCTACGGGCGATCATGTCAATGATTAAAATGGTGGAAACTCCATGCAGCGCTGACATGAGGAACGGTTCACAGCACTGCGAGAGGTTTGGTGTTTCAAAGGAAAAGTTTGACAAAGAGCTGATTGAATTAAGGAACAATCACGCTTTAAAGCAGAAGCATTTGGATGAATCTGTGGCCATTTTCTGGATGCAATTTGTACCCGCCACTTACAGCACCATAATCCTGTGTGCAAAGAAGATCTTGACCTATTTTGGATCAACCTATGTGTGTGAAAGTGGCTTTTCAACGATGGGAGTAATCAAGTCAAAGCAGTGCAACTCTCAGTAACAAGCACCTCTGTGACTGTCTGTGTGCAGCAACATCTACACACGTGGACAAAATTGTTGGTACCTCTCAGTTAATGAAAGAAAAACCCACAACGGTCACAGAAATAACTTCAATCTGACAAAAGTAATATTAAATAAAAATTCAATCAAAATTAAGCAATCAAAATCAGACAGCCCTGATCTAAATCCTATTGAACATTTGGGGAAGGAGCTGAAACATGCCATCTGGAGAAGGCATCCTTCAAACCTGAGACAACTGGAGCAGTCTGCTCATGAGTAGTGGGCCAAAATACCTGCTGAGAGGTGCAGAAGTCTCACTGACAGTTACAGAAATCGTTTGATTGCAGTGATTGCCGCAAAAGGTTGTGCAATTAAATGTTAAGTTAAGGGTACCATCATTTTTGCCCAGGCCTGTTTCATGAGTTTATTTTTTAAAACAATTCGGTTCAAAAGCAATGTCTGATTTTCATTGGTTAACTTTCATAGAATTTTTATTCATTATTACTTTTGTCAGATTCAAGTTATTTCTGTGGCCATTGTGGGTTTTTCTTTCATTAACCGAGGGGTACCAACAATTTTACCCACGTGTGTACATACCAGCCAGACTTGAGGCGATTAGCAGCGAAGATGCAGACTCAAGTCTCATATTTGGTAACTAAAACTGATTTGTTTGTATTTGTCTTTTAAGATTAAGCATAATGACGCTTAAAACGACAATAAATGTTACTTGATTTTCATTATTCTTTTTTACTGTATTTACAAAAGAGCTGGATCAAGTTCAGCCTGTCAAGCAAGCATGCACTGGATGTCCTTTCACAATTTATCCCTGAGGGACACTTCAGAAACTTTTTTTCTTATTTTACATACTACATGAATTTGATTTTGTTTTTCCATGTGAAGAAATGTAATACAATGCCCTGATGCACAATGTACATATATATTTTTCTGCTCAGATGTGTAAATTCTTGTATATATTTGTCTTAATATCTTGTTTAATTTTTATTGTTATTATCTATTGTATTTTATTTTTGATTCTTTTCTTTCTATAGTTATTTTATTTATTTCTTTTTATTTTCCTATTTCTATTTTCCTGCTCAATCCTAGGGCGACACCAACAGCCGAAACCAAATTCCTTGTATGTTGTGTACGTACTTGGCCATTAAAGCGGATTCTGATTCTGAATTCTGATTTCCACTGAGTGTAATTGTTTTAGATTTGACCTCTTCTGTCAGGGTTGCCAATTGATGCACAATTTCAATGAATAATGCACACCAAGTTATTTAATTTCATTTTGTTATAGTTCATGGCTCAAAAAAAAAAAAAAAAAGTGGGCCACCTACATAGCAATGTTTTTTACGTTTTACAGTGGTTGGTTTTTGGCCACAGATGCACTTTTTTGTGATCTATAAGCATAAGTGAATTTTTACTTTATTTTTTGGAGTAGTAGGCCAATTCATATTTATAAGAAATCTCTTAATTTATTTACTTTGTTTTGGAATAAAGCCTACTTAGTTTTCTGATGCAATTTAGCTAATTTCTCAAAAAACATTGCTTGAAAAATCTTTTAAAAACTTTGAAACATTACTTTGATTTATTACAAAAAAGAAATAGGCTAAAATGCATAAGTATATTTACCATTCTCTGATTTACTGCAGTGGCAGTAATTTTGTTCATATTTTGATATATGAGATATGATATGTGATATATGGCCTTTTGCTTTTTACTGTCAATAAGGGAAATGCAAAAAACAGCAACAAATAGATCTATAAGGCTAAGTATAATATATTGTTATTATATAATTGAATTTCCCTTCTGGGATAAATAAAGTATTTTTCATTTTTCATTTCATTTCATTGTCAACAAGATCTCATTTTACTTTTAAAAACACCTAATGAAATTGTCTTTTACTGTAGTGCATTTAAAATATTTTGTTTATTGAATAATACCTTGACTTTTTTGATGTCTTATAACATTCAGTCATATTAAATGATTCATTTTTAGGTTGCGGCCCACGCACAGATATTTTTCTATGTGGCCCATGAGCAATGGGAAGTTGAGTAGCCCTGCTCTACAGTTTGCATACCAGCCTAACATTGGTGTGGATGATGCCCTCATCTACATGCCACAGAGGGTCCACGTTCACCTAGACACCTCTGATGCAACTGCGAGGATCATGTTATTCGATTTCTCACGTGCCTTCAATACAACCCAGCTGGGACTGCTGGTGAGAAGATGAGGAATATGCAGGTGGAGTCAGCGCTGGTCTCCTGGATCATGGAGTATTTAACCTGCAGACCACAGTATGTGCGCCTTCAGAAATGTGTGTCTCAGATAGTCCTGAGCAGTACAGGGGCCCCTCAAGAAACTGTGCTGTCCCCTTTCCTCTTCACACTTTTTACATCTGACTTCCAGTACAACTCAGACAGTTGCTTTTTCCAGAAATTTTCTGATGATTCAGCGGTGGTCGGTTGTATTAATGGAGAGTGTGAGGTGGCATAAAGGGTCTTCAACCACCTTCAGCTTAACATTTCCAAGACCAAGGAAATGCTAGTGGACTTTTAGAGGAAGAGGCCAAAACCAGACCCAGTCACCATTCAGGGCATAGAGGTGGAAGTTGTCTCCAGCTATAGATACCTGGCAGTACAGCTGGACAACAAGCTGGACTGGTCCAGCCACTTGGGGGGCAGTGTACAAGAAGGGACAGAGCAGACTGTACTTCTTAAGAAGGCTGAGATCTTTCGACATCTGCAAGCCTCTTTTGTGCTCCTTCTACCAGACTGTGATAGCCAGTGCACTTTTCTTTGGTGTGGTGTGCTGGGGGAAGGGGGCTCGCACTGCAGAGAGAAACAAACTCAGTAAACTGATAAAGAAGGCAAGCTCCATCATTGGAGTTGAACTGGACACAGTTCACCAGGTGGCCAGGGTGAGAATGCTCATGAAGTTGGACTCTATAGTGAGCAATGAAGCCCACCCACTTCATGTCATGGAGGTATTTCAGCAGAGCACATTCAATCACAGACTAATTTCTCCAAAATGCAGGACTGAACGCAGCAGGAGGTCTACAATGTGCAATAAAACCACATGGCTGCATAACTAAATGACACTTTGTGTACTGACACTTTATGTACATTTGACACTTTATGTACATACGTTTTTAAAATCCATCTTTTGCACAGTCTAACTTTGCACACTTGGTACCTATATATTTATCTTATTTTTATTCTATATTGTGTATTTTGTTTTATATTTATGTGTGCCTCAATGCCGGGTGTCTTGTGGGGTTGTCTGTGTTTTTCTTTTAATGTAGCTGCTGTAACAAGTAATTTCCTGTAAAAGGATCAATAAAGTAACTATCCTATCCCATCTATCAACCTATATTTACTGTGGTTGTATCAGGCTTATCAATCATAGAAACAAATTGCTTCAATGCTGCAGACATCATACGTAAAATTGTATCTACCAAGCTTTCACCGGCATTCAAGAAGTCACAGACCACGTGCTGCACTGTCATGGAATGGCCGACCAAGCGAAAACGGACAGAGATATCAGAAGCAGTGAAAAAAGCTCTGTGTCAGTAGAATCTGGAGCATTCCCAGGACAGATTCAGAAAGACACCTATTCTGTGACAATCAGCCGATCAACATATAAATCATAACAATATCATATACATAGATAGTTTATTATAACAACTATAAACAATAAATATTAACAACAAATTACCCTTCAAGCATCAAGCCCTCCTTGTATCTCAACCTCCGTCTTGACTGTCTGACAGCCTTGCTGACATAAAAGAAGGTATTACATTTAGTGTCGGATTATCAAGTCACGACTGCACACACGCACACACACACTTGCATTGTGTTGTTTTTCTGTTCTTATTTAGCCATTAATATTAGTTGTGTGATAACCCTGTAGCAACAGTTATAGATAAATGTTTATTGGCTCAAGTGTATGATTTTATTGATGAAATCCGTTTTTGTAATAAACATTCTCCTAGCTTAATAAGCGCAGTTCTCTGTGGTTATTTGTGCATGATTTATTGTGATATCAGCTGTATGGGAACATTTGGACAGACAAAACAAGTCTCAATATTTGGACAACACGGAAGCAACTTGCAGCTTTGCGCATCTAATGACAACATATAACCTTTTCGCACACCAGTTTTCATGGTCTGACGAATGGGTCCATGTCACCGCTTTGGCATGTCAAAATAGCAAAAAAAGAAAAAGCAAAAAAAGGAACCTTGGATTGCTGTTCTTGCCACATATCAAATTCTAGATATATTAAAGGTCTCAAAAGTTAGATTATTAGCAGGAAATGTTAATATATCCATCCATATATATTTGTTTCAAATGTGTACACATTTTTACATTTTCAAGGGCAAACGGGCTTCTGCTGAAACCAATCAATCATTTGGATGTTCTGGAAACAATTTTGTCTACGTTCTCACCAAATTTAATGGTTGTGGAAGTTATATTTCAGTATGTCCTGAATCCTTAAAATGACTTACCGGGTAGAATGCTTTTGGAGGGTGATAATATAAAAATTTCCAGGTTTATAAACATGAAATTCTCAAAAATTTAGCCAAAATAATTTACAGAACTTTTTGCTGAAAAGGTATGTTAGCTGCTAACACATATGAATTGATTGCTGCTGTTGTTGTTGTTGTTGTTTTGGGTCTGTACAACATGACGCCTACTCTACCTTGAGTGATGAATAAACCAATTCTGTTTGGACTGTAAACTCTTTTAATACTACTCTTTGGTTCCCCATCAGCCAGGCATATGTACAGTGTACATTAGGCTGAATGACACAGCTTTCATCAGTGTAAGGAGATTATTTTATGAGAGCAGAATGCGGATGGTGACACTGGCAGTAATAATTTTAGTGGTTACTGAATTATTGAAATAATGAAAGTATCAACAAATATATTGTAGTCATAAAATCATTAATTGACAAGGTAAGAAAGCATGCTGATGTGTTGCAGAACTGTACCATAAGCCTCTTCAATGAGAGCACAGTATGGGTTGATGCCTGTTCCATTCTGTTTGGCCTCCTGTTCTCCCAGTCTGAGGATGTTCTCCAAACCATTTAGTGACACCTGCACGATCTTAGAGTCCATCACTGTCAGCAGATCACACATGGGTTTGATGGCATTCAGAGACACCAGATATCTGTTCACAAAAAGTAAAAGGTAAATCAAATGAAGAATTGCAGTTGAATTTGAATACATTGCTATTAAAGTTTTGGTTAGGGGAGCCTGTTTAATATAAAATCATGGCATATTAAAGAAGTTTTAGACCAAACTGAAATATGTCATATTTTTACACAGATCAGCAAAAAAATATTTGCAAAGTCTGAAGGTTTGGAAATATTTAAAAACACAAAAGTTTTGAAATGCAAAATGAAGAACTTTTCAGATTTTTCACTGTTTCTAGGTCAGCAATCAAACTGAAGCAGATTAGTGGCATAGACCAGTTGTTCTCAAACTGGGGGTCAGTACCCCCATGGGGTCCCAAGATTAAATAAATTCAATTCCTTCATTCATCCATCCATCCATTATCTATACACCGCTTAATTCCCACTAGGGTCACGGGGGGGCTGGAGCCTATTCCCAGCTGACTTAGGGCAAAGGCAGGGGACACCCTGGACAGGTCGCCAGTCTATCACAGGGCTACACTTAGAGACAGACAACCAAGCACACTCACATTCACACCTATGGACAATTTAGAATCACCAATTAACCTCAACATGTTTTTTGGACCTTGTGGGAGGAAGCCGGAGAACCCGGAGAGAACCCACACTGCAAGGGGAGAACATGCAAACTCCACGCAGAAAGATTCCGGTGAACCCACCAGGACGCGAATCGGCAACTTTCTTGCTGCGAGGCAACAGTGCTAACCAACTGCGCCACCCTGCAGCCCTTCCTTCCTTCATTCAAAAGAAAATTAGCATGTTAATGTAAAGAGATTAATCTTTGGAATTGACACATTAATTTTTAACGCATTAATACATGAACAACAACGTTATTATTCATGCCATATTAATGAACATGCCATATCATGAACACAAACTTATGTTATCTTGGGCGCCGTGGCTCAGAAAGTTTGAGAACCACTGGCATAGACCATGTTAATTCCTTTAAAAAAAGGTCAGATTTCCTTGGGTTGTATCTTTCCATTGAAACAGCATTCAGATGACCCTTGTGGATTTGATCAACTCTTCAGAGACTTGTTCAACTTAAGCAACTTGCAGTCATTATTCACCTATTGTAAATATGACTGCCATACTCATTAAGTAGTATTGTTCATAATAGGAAACATTGCATCAAAAGTAAGGTGTTATACTTTCTGTCAATCCCTTAAGGATTTGAAGCACGAAAAATAAGACCAAAAAAGATCAAGGAATGCTGACTGTTGTGGATTTTACGACAGAGTCACCTAACCTCACTGTCACTGAACATTAATGGGATGGCCAAGGAAACAGACGTAGTCCAAAGGCCTGACTTAAGAAGTTTTTGAAAGTTCCGACAAAAAGCAGCATTGCAGATTACTACTGGGGGAGATTTCCAGGGTGGGTGCTCCCACACTTAAGGCTCTGTCTCCAAAGAACCGCAGACAAGGTGCGGTTGTTGGTGAGCAGACCCATATCGGAGGAGTGCAAATTAGGGACAGGGAGTGGAAGTGCTCTGAAAGTTACTCAGGGGCAACTGCATCGCAGGATTTAAAGGTGAGAAAGATTGTTGTATGAGGCACAGAACTTGACTGGGAGCCAGTGGAGATAGATGAAGGTGGGAGTGATGAATTACCATGGCTTGATGCGGGTGAGAACCCTGGCAGATGAGTTCTACACATTATTTTATTTGTAACAATTTGTTTTAAATTGTAAATGTAATGACAGGATTATAGACTTCTGGACTCCAGTATACTGCATATTTGGAACATCTATGTTGATTTTGGTCTGGCTACTGCTACCTAATGTAATGGCTACACAGGAGAAAAGTGGCCCCATTCCTATAATCTCTAGTAATGTTTCCTGTAATCCACTGAGAGTCATTGTTCCTCTGACCTCAGTATGTAACTGAGAACCAGATATGAAGAGTCTGATGAACACACCTTATTTGTGCAGGCGTGCCCCCAGAGGTGGCATTGGTAATAGCCCAAGCTGCCTCCTTCCTCGTGCGGAACTCAGCCTTCTGAAGGATCTCAATCAGTACTGGGAATATGTTGGCATCAATCACATTCTGACAAGAGAATGAATGCTGTCAGCAATACAGCAGTCCTTCTTGCCACGCAAATCTAGATGAATCAGCATTTACCTGAATCTGAGCTCTGTTTCCTGCTGTAATGTTGGATACAGTCCAGCAGGCCTCTTTCTTGATGGACTCCTTGGGACTGCTCAGCAGGTGGAGTAAACATGGCAGTGCTGAACAGTTCAAGATTACCTGAGTTGACAAATGTATAATAAGATTTTAGAGGACAACATTTATATTTCATACTGCTTATGATTCCATTGAAACAAACAGACAAAGAAATTGAGTGAATCAGCGTCTACTGTAAGTAACAGAACCACTACCTGAGTCTGGATGTCATCTCCTGTTACAATGTTTCCTACTGCCCGTAAAGCAGGAGAAACAACCTTGTAGTCACTATGCCTGTAAGAACCAGGAGACAGACAATGACACTGGGACACAGTAGAAAGTTCTAAGATTGTAGTGAAAATTAAAGCTGCAAGCAGCGATGGTCGGGTCCTTGCCCTACGCACGTCGGGGTTTGTTAGGAACGCACTTGGGGCGGGACTCAGATTTGGCGTGTCGAATTCCGGGCAGATCGTAGCATGTGCGACCTAGTTACAAGCCACTTCCTGTGTAATGGCGAGCCACGGCGGCATGCATGTTGGGTCATGGCGGAAACGCGCTCTGGCTGGGACTTGGAGCACGCGGATAAAGTTTCAGGCAGAACAGAGCACATACACGACACTTCTCGTTTTATGGCGTTTTGGCCAAATTCCATGGGTCGCCATTTCCACGCCGTCTGACTTTTGCAGACCGTTTTACTAAGTTGTATTCACTACGTCCTGTAGTTTGGGCTGGCGAAATTTCGGATGTATATGACTTTCCCTGTAGGAGAAGAGAGATTTTGAAAATGGCCAAAAATGAGCGAAAATCGCCAAAATTCTCAGCATGTTTTTTCAAAATGACGGACCTCCTGTTGGGTTTAGGGCTTGGTGCTGGTGGACTTTTTTGTGCGTCCTGACTTGCTACACATGCCCACCGAATTTTGTAGGTCTAGGTAAAACAGCCTTCCGACGCAACTCCATTGAATTCCGGAAAAACAGCAAAAATGCCCAAATGGCCTTTCATCAAAATTGTGTGGGCCAGCATTTCCATGCCGTCAAGACTTTTTGTGAAGCATTTTAATAACTTTTATTCATCATGACCTGTAGTTTGTGCCGGCCAAATTTCAGGTGTGGACGACATAAACCCCAGGAGAAGACAGATTTCGAAAATTTTGGAAAATTTTTTCAAAATGGCCGAGTTCCTGTTGGGTTTACGGAAATGCACTGATGGGACTTTTTTGTGCGTCCCGACCTGCTACATATGTGTACCGAATTGTGTACAGGAGTATGTTGAAATTTTCAAGAGGGCGCCATTTTGCCATTTCCATGTCCAATTCCATTGTAATACAAATATCGGTCACCTTGGGAATGCGTGTGCAAGTTTTGGTGAGTTTTCGTGCATGTTTAGGAAATAAAAATGAGTTCATTGATGGTAAAAAAATAATAATAATAATAAGGGTTTCAATAAGTTCCTTGTACTATTAGTTGCTCTGACCCTAATTACTGCTGGTAAAAATTTTGGCCCAAACTCCAGTTTCTTAAAATTTGCCAGTTTTAACAGCAAAACACTGATTATGATTGTGTGGAGTCATTCTATATAAAATCACCAAATCTTTAGAAACATTTCTGCTCAACAATTTTTGATTCCCCCTAAAAAATTTTTAGCATAAAAATAGCTATATATTTATTTCAAGAGAGCTTGATGTATCAGACACTTTTCAAAATTAAAAAAAAAAATCAAATTGCCTGTCGACCCATTTTAAGCATGTTTTTGCACATTGAAATTTGAGGCCACGTTGAACAACAACATCTCAGAAACTATTAAGATAAAAGCCTAAAGTTTTCACTGTTATTTCTCTTAATTATGGTTGTTGCGTCCACAGCTCTAGCTGATAGGCAGCAACATATCACGAGTAACAGCAAATCACTGAAAGCTATTGTTTACACAGAGAAACTGAGCACATTTGGGGAGCAGAGCAGCTCTAGGGAATTAAACACAATTCATGCTTTCCACAGACACTTACCAGTGTCCACAAGGATACGTGTATCATAATATCATCCTTCATTCAAGTCCATAAAGGTTTGAGTGGAACATCCACGTCCAGTCAAAGTTCTGTGACTGCACGCACTATCCACACTACAAGTGCGCCAACGAGGTGTGTACCAGGTAAACAAGCGGTGGTTAAAACAAATGTTTGGTATGAGGAGAGCCTGTATGAGGAAATTCCTGATCATCCAAACCTTTATAATTCATCATTTAAAGAGCTTTAATCAAAGCAGTCGCTGCTGGACTTCGGAGGAGCTTTGAACATTGGGAATAAACTTGGCCTTAAAGATCAGTGTCACAAGCTGGACTATCTACAGAAAGCGTGAGTCCACGTATATTTATAGTAACTGCTGAAGAGTTTACCTTCAAGCATCTCTTCCAAAAATAGTAGGGCAATGCACTGGGCTGAATATGCGATGTCTGAAGGGACCGAAAACAACGCTATATAACACCTTCTACAATCAAACCTCACCCACCAGCCTCTAGCACTGACACATTCACACTTCAGGAACAGTAAACCCCAGAAAAGCTGCCGGCCCAGTTGAAGTACAGGGAAAAGTACTCAAGGCCAGCGCTGCTCAGCTGACTGGGGTCTTTCCTTTGCACAAGCCACTATCCCATCCTGCGTCAAACAATCCACCTTTATCCCTATCCCTAAAAAGACAGCCATAGACAGCCTAAATGATTACAGGCCAGTTGCACTTACACCTGTGATCATGAAGTGCTTTGAGAAACTGGTTTCACAACACATCAGGACCAGCCTGCCCCCCACTTTCAACCCACATCAGTTTGCCTACAGGGCAAACCGATCCACTGAAGATGCTATCACCATCGCTCTTCACACTGCGCTGAGCCACCTGGAACACAAGGGAAGCTATGCAAGGATGCTATTCATAGACTTCAGTTCAGCCTTCAATACTAGCATCCTGGACATTCTAGTTGAGAAACTTTCTCACCTAGGCCTCTCCATCCCCATCTGCAGCTGGATTAAGGACTTTCTGACAGACCGCCCACAGTTTGTCAGACTTGGCCCCCACCCTCAAACTCAGCATGGGTTCTCCACAAGGTATTGAGTCCACTGTTGTACTCACTGTATACACACAACTGCACTCCGACCCAGCTCTCGAACTCCATTATAAAGTTTGTCGATGACACCACTGTTGTTGGCCTAAACTCCAGGAGACGAGTCCACTTATAGAGACGAGGTCGAGAGCCAGTCAGTGTGGTGTTCAGTGAACAATCTCACACTGAACACCACAAAAACAAAGAAACTGGTTATGGACTTTAAAAAGGACTGTGCAGAGCCAGCATTAACAGCTACAATAATGGGGACCGGGTGGAAAGGATCCACTCGTTCAGATTTTTGGGCATGCACATCTGTGATGACCTCTCCTGGTCTGTCAACACCACAGCAGTAGTGAGGAAGGCCCAGCAGTGACTACATTTCCTGAGAGTGCTCAGGAAAAACAAACTGGAGGAGAAACTGTTTTTGGCCTTCCACTGAGTCACTGTGGAGAGCATTCTGGCGCATTGCATCTCAGCATGGTATGCCAGCTGCTCTGCAGCAGACAGGAGAGCTCTACAGAGGGTGATCAACACAGCCCAAAGGATCACTGGCTGGTCTCTGCCCTGCCTAGAGGATATTGGTAGCTCTTGCTATCACAGCAGAGCTAGTGACATCACTAAAGACTCTTCTCACTCCAGAGACCAGGTTTGACCTGTTGCCCTCTGGCAGGCACTACAGGTCACTCAAAGCCCGTACAAAGAGACTCAGGGATAGTTTCTTTTCCAGAGCTTTCACCACACTAAACAGTTCATCAACGTGCAAAAAAACTGAACTATATATAAAAATACCTCATATTATTGTATATTCTCTTTTTGTACTTTGTACCTTTGTCTTAAATGCATCAACTGATTATACTTGGTGCATACTCTTGATGTTGACTAATTTCGCTGTATAAAATACAGCAACAATAAAGGCAGTCTATTCTATATACCAATATTCAAAAAATATTTTTTGTTATATTTGGAGAGCCATTTTGAAACTCAAACTCTGACTTGGATAAGGCAATTAAGCAATATTTTTGCTTTTGTTGTAAAATTTGTCATATCTGCACAATAAGTTCTGAAAGTTCAACTAAAATAACTTATTTATATTCTGGTTACCAAGTATTTCACACCAGAAAGTATCTATATGTTTTTTTTTGTTGTTGTTGTTGTTTTTTAAAAAGTATTATGTGACATGAAACTACATGTATTTCAGAAAATATCACTAGATGACTTCTGCCATATTTTTTTGTTATTGAGTGCTCAAAGATGGGACTTTTCATAAAGGCTTACATTTTTTCATATTCTTTTCAACCCTCCCAAATTAGCATGATGAGATGAATGAAAATTGTCTTCTAGTGTTAGTAGTTTTTTAGATATTGTCATTCAAACATAATCTCAAATTTCATAAAAACATACTGAAAAAGGGTACACAGGCTTTTTTTTTTTGGCTAATAATCGTGGAGAGGTGCTTCATATAATCAATCTAAAATTTCATAGATACCATTTTAAATATCTATAGATCAGACATGGTCAAGCAGAAGGTCCCTGATGATTTGAGACAGTAGTGACCCCTTGGCTTTATCATCCTCTAGAGACTCAAAGAACTACTCTACTCCTTGGGGAGTCAGTCGCTTACATTAGCAATTCCACCAGTCTGCGACAGACACCGGAGTCAATGACCGTCTGGATCTTTTCATTGGGGCCGTCAGATAGGTAGGACAGAGCCCAGCAAGCATCAGCCAGCACATCTGGATCACTGCTGAATAGAAGCCTGGACAGAACGCTGAGACAAGGAGACACCTGACACAATGGCAACAAAGACATGGGGACAGTTTAATATCAAAGCTTAATGAAAAAACAAGAATGAACGCTGCAAGCATTAACAAGATGGCGTGGCCATGTCCAGATGGCATCTCAACTGCTCCGCAAAGGCGGTGTGTTTATGTTTTTGTTTTAGGTATTATTAGTACTTCTGTGCTGGCTGATATTTCAGGTTAAATAACATATGACTGTAACACACTTGTAGATATAGGAAGACTTGTTACATCGGGTTTTCCAACATTTTCACAAAGATCAGATGGCTGGACTATGAAACAAGATTAGTGGGTTAGCAACATGCAAACCAGCATTAAGGGACAGTATCCAAAAAAAAACAACTTCAATCCAATGTCCTGTTTAAATATACATTAGTTTGAATTTTAACAGCTTTAATGTGCATCTGATGAATTAGAAATAGTAGTGTAGGTCTTAGAAGTGCCCAGCTGAGATTCTGTGCGATGCTGAAGGAAACTACAACAGCAACACGATGCAGAAATGGAGAAGGAAAATGCACCGACGATGACAAGGTGGTGTACGGAACAGGCTAACAACCTGGACCACTACTACAGACTGTTCAAAGAGGGCTGCAAACTACGTTCTCGGGTTCAAATTGAACCATGCTGCCAGTCTCTTTGTCAAAATATAAACAAAGGATGGCACAGGATAAAGGTGCAATGATTAGACAGGCAAGGAGCTGGTGTGACCAATCGCAGGTGACAATGCAGGACACTCTGAGTGACGTCGACTGGGATATGTTCCAATCCAGGTCCAGCAATGTGAACAAGTTTACAGAAGTGATCAAGCTGGTAGATGATACTGTTCCCATTGTGACCATATTTTATCAAACCAGAAGCCATCGGTCAACAAATTGATCTCCACCGCTCTGAATGCACTGCCCTGCTTGCTGCTTACAATTCAGTCCTTATCACTGGCTGAATGGAGGAATACGAAGCACTGTCATTCAGGCAGAGATGAGCATTGAAGTACGCTATGTGGAGGTACAGGGACAAAGTGGAATAACAATTCAACAATGACTTGTGGCAAGGACTGCAGGAGATCTTGGAATACAAGGGAAGGAGAGCCCCCATCTTGGCGAGTGCAAACACTGCTCTCTGACCTGAACGCTTTCCACACACAATTAGAAGCTAATGCTAGCATACACACGTGGACAAAATTGTTGGTACCCCTTGGTTAATGAAAGAAAAACCCACAATGGTCACAGAAATAACTTGAACCTGACAAAAGTAATAATAAATAAAAATTCAATGAAAATTAACCAATGAAATTCAGACATTGCTTTTGAACCGTGGTTCAACAGAATTATTTTAAAAAATAAACTCATGAAACAGGCCTGGACAAAAATGATGGTACCCTTAACTTAATATTTTGTTGCACAACCTTTTGAGGTAATCACTGCAATCAAACGATTTCTGGAACTATCAATGAGACTTCTGTACCTCTCAGCAGGTATTTTGGCCCACTCCTCATGAGCAGTCTGCTTCAGTTGTCTCAGGTTTGAAGGATGCCTTCTCCAGACAGCATGTTTCAGTTCCTTCCACAGATGTTCAATAGGATTTAGATCAAGATTCATAGAAGGCCACTTCAGAATAGTCCAATGTTTTCCTCTTAGCCATTCTTGGGTGTTTTTAGCCCTGTGTTTTGGGTCATTATCCTGTTGCAAGACCCATGACCTGCAACTGAGACCAAGCTTTCTGACACTGGGCAGCACATTTCTCTCTAGAATACCTTGATAGTCTTGATATTTCATTGTACCCTGCACAGATTCAAGACAGCCTGTGCCAGATGCAGCAAAGCAGCCCCAGAACATAACAGAGCCTCCTCCATGTTCTTTTCTTGATATGCTTCAGTTTTTGCATCTGTGAACATAGAGCTGATGTGCCTTGCCAAAAAGTTTCAGTTTTGTCTCGTCTTACCATAGGACATTCTCCCAGAAGCTTTGTGACTTGTCAACATGCAGTTTGGCAAATTCCAGTCTGGCTTTTTTATGATTTGTTTTCAACAACGGTGTCCTCCTTGGTCGTCTCCCATGAAGTCCACTTTGGCTCAAACGACGACGGCTGGTGCGATCTGACACTGATGTACCTTGACCTTGGAGTTCACCTTTAATGTCTTTAGAGGTTGTTCTGGGCTCTTTTGCTACCATTCGTATTATCCGTCTATTCAACTTGTCAAAACTTTTCCTCCTGCAGCCACGTACAGGGAGGTTGGCTACAGTCCCATGGATCTTAAATTTCTGAATAATATGTGCAACTCTAGTCACAGGAACATCAAGCTGCTTGGAGATGGTCTTACAGCCTTAACCTTTAACATGCTTGTCTACAATTTTCTTTCTAATCTCCTGAGACAACTCTCTCCTTCGCTTCCTCTGGTCCATGTTTAGTGTGGTACACACCATGTTACCAAACACCACAGTGACTACTTGTAACCCTATAAATAGGCTGACTGACTGATTACAAGTTTGTAGGCACCTGTGATGCTAATTAGAGGACACACCTTGATTGAACATGTCCCTATGGTCACATTATTTTCAGTCTTTTCTAGGGGTAACATCATTTTTGTTCAGGCCTGTTTCATGAGTTTATTTTTTAAAATAATTCTGTTGAACCACAGTTCAAAAGCAATGTCTGATTTTCATTAGTTAGTTTTCATTGAATTTTTATCTATTATTACTATTGCCAGATTCAAGTTATTTCTGTGACCGTTGTGGGTTTTTCTTTCATTAACCGAGGGGTACCAATAATTTTGTCCATGTGTGTAGATGCTAGCATTAGCACTAACATGCTAACTGATGCAGCTAAGAGGTCATTCACAGCTGGAGCAAAACACACTCACTCTTTCACAGTGCAAAATGAAGAGGACACTGAGTAGAGTGAATATCAGGAAGGCAGCTGGTCCAGATGGCATTCCTGAAAGAGTGCTGAAGTCCTGCACCAACCTACTAGCTCCAGCCTCTCCCTGGGTCAGTGTGAGGCTTTAAGAGCGTCATCATTGTTCCTATACTTAAAAATGCCTCCCCAGGGCGCCCCTATAGCTCACCTAGCTGAGCGGGCGATCCATGAACAGGGCTACAGTTCCCCGACGCAGTGGTTGTGGGTTCGACTCCTGTTCACGACCCTTTGCTGCAGGTCTCTCCTCATTCTTCTCCTCCCTTTCCTGTCTATCTCTACTCCTCTGAATAAAGGCAAAAAGCCCAAAAAATATATATTAAAAAAAAATGCCTCTCCAGTCTGATTAGATGGCTATCGCAAAGAAGCTCTCATCGCTCAAGTAATGAAGTGTTTCAAGAGACTAACTGGGGAACAAATCTGTTTCTTGCTCCATTTTGGTCTGTTTACTGACTAAACAGATCGACTTATGATGCCATTTCCCTGGTTCTGCATACAATCCTCACTCACCTGGACAGACGGAGAGGGGACTAGGTAAGAATGCTGTTCGTTGATTTTAGTTTAGCCTTTAATTCCATGGGCCTGGCAAAATCTTCACCAAGCTGTCCAGTCTGGCACCTCCCTGTGTGACTGGATTTGAAATTTACTGTCCAGCAGAACCAAAGTGGTTGGAGTGGGCAGACACATTTCCAGCCCCTGTACCCTAAACACCGGAGTCCCCCAGGGGTGTGTCGTCAGCCCTGTGCTCTTCTCCCATTACATGCATGATTGTGTAGTTATGAACAGCTCCAACACCATTGTGAAATTTGCAGATGACAGGGTCTAGGTCAGACGCATCAGTAACAATGATGAGCGGACATACACAGAGGAGGTTGACAGCCTGTCACACTGGGACTGGACTAAGAACCTAGGAGCTGAATGTGGACTTTCAGAGAAGCCTGAAGAGGAGTTACACTCCACTGAGGATAAACTGATCATTTGCGGAGAGGGTGTGCAGCTTTAAGTATCTGGGTGTGCACATCTCTGAGGATCTGTCACAGTCCAAACTTTTTGACATATCACCTAACACAGCTGAGGAAATTTAGTCTCTGTGATGGCAGTAAGGAACATTTACAATGTAATATTGCAGAGTGCAGTGACTGGGAGTATCACCTACTATTGAATATCTTGAAGCATAAATAGGCTCGATTATCTAATAATTATGTTATGACAAATGGACTCACCTTGGCAAAATCTGGTGGTGGATTTTTCCCTCGGCACAGGTTGGACAGAGCCCACACTGCATTGCGGGTTGTTGTTAAACGGTTAGATTTGGCAAGTAGCCTAGACAATACAATACAGAGGTGAACACATGTTTGACAGAATCAGACAGAGACAGACACAGGAAGGACACTTACTGCTGTAGAAATGGCAGGATGCCACAGTTGAGCACATAGTCTCTGCACTCAGCGTTATCTCCTGCTATGTTCCCCAACGCCCAAACTGCCTGAAATGCATATAGTGAACATGCTTTAGCTACATTACATGCTGTCATCCAACAGACTTAAAGTACCACAGTATGTCACCAGCTCAGCTCTGCCTAGGAGACTGACATTCATCAACAGAGTCTTGCCTAGACACATGTGGCAGACCAGTCTGCGACTATAAGGGTTCTTTAGGTGATGATATGACCTATCTCTCAAAACTCCTGTGCTGATTTCTGAGTGAAGGCAACTATCAGCCATCTACTGTACACCATCGTTGTTGTCTGACCTTATTTCTTTTGAACAATACTAGACTACAATGATAAATACACAGTAAAAGCAAAAAAGGTACAACAAACACACACTTGAAATATACTTTTTATCTTTAAAGACCCCTTCCAATAGTTTTTTATATGCTGGACGATATATTGTGATGAATTAGCAGTCAACGCTATGGCTGAGGATCTGTAGCTTGGAAATGAAGTGTATCAAGAATAGTCTCAAAAACAGGTTCAGACTTCGGGAGTTTCATACATAAAAAACCTCAGGAAGCAATCCTGTCAACATGCGCGGTGGGGCTTTCTGTAATATTTTTCTACAGAATCAGTTTCCAGTTTGCATGTGTATAACTTAATCTATTACCACTTGCCATTGTGTAGCATAGAGTAGTTGTACAGTGTTTCAGCAGAGCAGAAGGTGAGCTGCTGTGCTTGAGCTGCTGAAAGAAGGGCAGGTGCCGATAGAGGTGGGGACTAACTTACATATTAATGAAATGATACAAATTAACTGAGGAAAAGGTGCACACTCACATCTTAGCTATTTTAAGGAATAAAATGAATATTTTCAAGGAAAGATAATCTTAATATGAGACTGCAATGATCATAGATGAGTTTTCAGGGACATAATCAATGCCAAGACAGGAAGTTCTAAATATTACCTTGTCAGCTCTCACCTGTTCCTGGACATCCTCATATTCAGAGTTTAGCAGCTCAATGAAAATGGGAACAGCTCCAGTTTCAATCACCACCTTTGTGTGTAGGAAGGTACCAGAGGCAATGTTTGTTAGTGCCCAGGCTGCCTCAAACTGTGGGAAACACACACACACACACACACACAAAGCACATAAAAATAGCATATCAGTCAAACCACAGTTAGTTACTACATGCAAAGTTGAAACCATTGCAATACTTTACACATTACTTTACAATTAATTACAAATCAACAAGCAACACAGAACAAATCATATTCTATACAATTAAGTGACATTTTAAATAAGTTAAAAACTAAATTTAATGTGAGTGAGACAAATTTTACTTGTTAGGGACATGAGATATGCCATGTCTCTGAAGTCCTTCTTCGGGCACTGCTCACATCACATGTTAAACTCAAAATGTGTGTTCAGTAACATGTCTTCAGAAGAAGCAGAAGCAGTGACACTGTACATTAGAATACCTTGCTGATTATCTTCTAGTGCTGGAGTCGGCAACCTTAAAGACTCAAAGAGCCATTTGGACCCATTTCCCATGGAAAAGAAAACGCAGGGAGCCACAAAACCCTTTTGACATCTAAGATGACGATAACACTGCATACATCGTTGTTAGCTTTATGCTATGTATAAAAAACTAGTGTGTTGCATTTATGAACTCAATGAACTGCTACAGCGAAAACAAAATTTTATTTCTGCATTAACAAAAACATTCTGAACTCAAAAAAAAAAAAAAAGACGCTGGGTTGAAGGTTACTTTCAAATAAAATACTCAATGTCAATTTGAATTCTCCTTGTATTTATGAAATAAAAAGCCAATCTTAAAAAGCCAAATTATTCGCCTGCAGCAAAGTAGAAATGCCGTCTGTTTGTCCTGCTGACAGCAGCTGGGACTGCTGACCAGACTGCTGACCACCTATGAGCGCTTTGGGACGGGGAGGAGTTCACGGCAGCACCGACAGTAACTGAAGAATAGTACGTGTTGTCATGTCAGAGTCAGTCATTAAGTTGGCAACACTGCGTGTGCCGGCAGGTGTCGCACAACGGCGGTTGTCACGCATATTTTGAGCGACAAAAAAATGAAACACGTTTTATTTTAATGTTACAAGTTCACAAAAATCTTCAAATTTAGAATTACATTTTAATATTTTAATTAAAAAAAGAAAGAAAAATAGAATTCCATTTTAAAAACTAACCAGCTAAAATAAAAATATATTTAAATTAAAATACTCATTATTTATTTTCCAAAGCTACAAGGAGCTGCAGCAGCAGTATGAAAGAGCCGCATGCAGCTCCGGAGCCGCAGGTTGCCGACCCCTGTTCTAGCAAAATGTTCACACAACCAAATGACTGGACCTGTGCTTGGTATGTTTTGTTGAGCACACAGGCTCTGTGCTGTATTGTGAAGCTCTCACCTGTAGTGTGCAGTTATCACTCCTCTTAAGAAACTCCACGAAACGAGTAATGACACCAGATGTGGAAATTACCTCATCTATGGGTGGGTTGGGCTCTGCACCAAACAACAGAAACCTCTGCTCTGAATGTTACCCAATTTAAACAGTGAAAAAAGGTTTAAAAGAGACACTGGTTTATATTAACGAATGTGCAAAATGACAGTTGCATCTACAGCGGTTACAGCGTCTTCATGCAAAAAACACTCATCAAACAGTCTGATCAGTTGTGATATAGTAGGGGGTTTCAAAAGTTGGCACTGTTTTCTTTTGGTTTCATCTCTCTTTTATTAAAGCTTGAAACAGCAAATCCTTCAATAAAGCTGTGAAAGATTATTGTGTAGACTTCAGGATTTAAAAAAAAAATGTTTTTCAACACAAACCTTTGGAGAGTAATTTTCTGAATTTCTGTGTAGCAATAAGCTGTTGATCTGGGTCTTCAGAGAAGATCATCTGAATCATATCTGGTGTTATGACCCCATCCTGCACAATTCAACATTACATAAATATTCAGAATTATAATCAGTTTTAGATCAGACTGTAGCCAGGCAGTTATACAAAAAGCAGTGAGTTTAGGCAGACATGTTTAATATCTTCTTGCTATTGGTTGGTTCTCTCAGATCAGATGAGCAATCATAAAAAAGGAACAAATTCTGCAATGAAAACAGGAAGTGGGGGTACAATGGGTTCAGAGGACACTTTCACCAGGTAAACTAGGGCTGAAATCCCAGGGAAAGTCACAAAGATATCTCAACTACCTTTTTATGTTTGAAACACATGGATGTGTGGTGGGAGGGGCTTAAAACAGACATGGAAGAGCTGCAAGAGGAAGGCTATACCTTTTCAAATGTGTTTTTATTTGGCCTTTTCCAGATATCTGCCAATTGCTATTTTAAAGAAAGAACACAACAAAAAGCCAACACTTACACCTGTGACAGGCACAGTCGAGGTGATGTCTGGATCCTGGATTGGACATTCCAGCATTGATTCATCAGCTGAAGGTACACATACATTCCTCCTCTTGAACAGCTGTGGGATGTCAAAGTCACATGATTACCCTTCAATTTAATTTTTTTTCACCTTAGTCTGATGAACTGATTGTGACAATAAACACACAAGCCAACGTACAAAAACTGCACAGAGGTTTAACTGTAACAGACAGACTGTTGGGACAAAAGTGATTAGTCTGATTTTCTATTTTGCCATGTATTTAGTGCACAAATAAAAGTGATTCTATATACACCTAAATAATGTAGAATATAATGTATGGGGGAATTACTGCAGCAAAACTATTTTTAAATGTGTGTGGAGAGTTGTGCGTCTGTACCTCAATCTGTCTGTACGTAGTGACATTTGTAAATCCATCCATCCATTATCTATATACCACTTAATCCTCACAAGAGGTGCAGGGGGCTGGAGTCCATCCCAGCCGACTCAGGGTGCAGGCAGGAGACACCCTGGTTAGACTGCCAGTCTGTCTACATGTCGGCATTTAGCTGTGATTTTAAAGGGAATGTTGTATGCCTCCTTTTAAGTGACCTTCATGGATTGGCATTAAATCACACTGGTTTGAATCTTGATTTAGATCAGAGGCCTATACATACAATGTGCATTTGCATCACCTAAAGGATTGAAAATTGTACCACTTCATAGTCATTAAATTACTTCTAAATGGAATAGTAGTACATTAGTTATTTAGATTTGTATAGAGGGAACTCAACACATCAAAAGTCAGTACCTCATTCATTACTGAGATTCAAATCTATTTTTTTCAGTACTTCAGATGTCCCGCTGTATTTTTTATGGCAGACTTAACCCTCCTCAGTATAGAAGATACCAGTGCTGCACAAATTTCTGAAGAGATCTTTTTTTTTTTCTTTAGAAAAATCCTATGTGATTTTGGCAGTGGGCCCTGTGATAGACTGGCGACCTGTCCAGCGTGTCCCCTGCCTTCGCCCTAAGTCAGCTGGGATAGGCTCCAGCCCCCCCGCAACCCTAGTGAGGATTAAGCGGTGTATAGATAATGGATGGATGGATGGATTTTGGCAGTGTGCTTTGGATCGTTATGTCGGATTATTTCTCTTCTGCAAAGCTTCTAGAGACAGAGAGATGTTTTGTCTGTCAGTATTTTGGCATGTTAACAGGCATTCATGGTTCTATCCGTACTTGTCATCTCCCCACCACCTTTTGGGCTCTTGCAGCCCGATGTATGTAATGCTTTTCATTTACAAAATGTAATCTTGTAATTTGGTGCCAAGCAGCAAACAAGGGTTTTTTGTTAAGTGCTATCTATAGAGACTGATGTATGCACTGTCCTTCACACTGTCTAAGTTGTCTAAAAAACTCAGATTTCCACTTACAGCTCCAAACCAGTCTGATGCACTTAGCCACGTGTTTTTCAGAGCTAACCGCTGTCCATTGTGCCATTTTAGGAAAACAGCCATTGCAGCTCCGTCTAGTAGTATTATGGTTTATTGTATACCTCCTGATTATTGCTACAATGATTTGACCACTGAATTTTAGTTGGTCATTGAGTTCTTGTATCTTTTTTCATCTTTGCAAAATCTCACAATTAGGTTCCTATGTGATTCTTTGCCATGTGGAGCCATGATGCAGACATGCATACACAACATTAAATGTTGATGGTTAAAAAAAGTATTTTTTGTGGCAAGTAAATAACACTTATTTGATATGTATGTGAGATCATAAGCATATTGTCATTATATTATCAACTACATTTGCTAATCTGTAACTCTTTGAAACCTTTAAACAAGTTGGCATGTTTGTCGGACAGACACTTTGCAAAGTTGGATGTGTTGGTCTGTACAGGTAAAACCTTGTTTACAGATGGGTTTGATGGTGTATTTGGAATGTCTACTTCTGTGGATGGTCAGCAAAGTGCCACAGAGGTGTAATGTGCTTGTGAGAGAGGAAAAACAGCACTTGACATGCTCACAATGTCTGCAGAGAGTGAAGTAGATCACTGTATGCACACAGAGCCCACCTGTTGGACATCAAGGCAACTCGCAGCAAATATGCCTTCATTTAAAACACTGCTGTTCTTTAAGGGTCAATTCTTGCTTTCCGTGTCCATGTGCACAGATCGATGCAGACTTTTATAGTGGACTGCAGACATGGTTCTGTTTAGGAATCTGTCTGTCTTTGTTGGAGCAGAGCACTTACGGTTTCACTCTCTGAGTTTCAATAGGTGGGCCGTTCCCTCTATTGTTACCTGGCTGAAAATATGAAAGGGGTGGGATTTTCACTGAAGGCCTTGAAAAAGAGAGACTGAAGCTAGCTCCAAACAGAGCAAGCCGAGATCTAGAACATAGGAGATAGTAGTTAGTTGGTGAGTGTTTTTGGAGCTTGGATTTGAGTTTGACTAGGACGAGTTGTCAGGTAGGTGTCAGTCTTTGTTGGAACAGAGCACTTCCCGGTTTCACTCTCTGAGTTTCAATAGGTGGGCCGTTACCTCTATTGTTACCTGGCTGAAAATCTGAAAGGGGCGGGTTCAGCCATAGTACGTCCTGGTACTTAAACACATGGTGCTATGCTGTAGCGTCAGCCTTTCGTGTGAAGACCGAATTGGGTAAAGACCTGTGTGAGTCCACCGAGCAAGGACACTGACTGGTTAGTCTCTTCCTATTTTTCGTATTATCTGCACCTGTAGCCTGCCTCATCCACCATATGCTACAATACCACACCTGTTATCCAAAACTTTCGGAATAAACACACTTGCTACAGAAAGTACAACCCTGAAAACCTCCGCTCTCTCGTAAAAGCCTCCATTAATGGTTTGTACTTCAACCTTGGCCAGTGGAATTGTCAGTCTGCTGTAAACACAACAGAATTAATCCAAACACTGGTTAATTCTTCAGATATTCAGGTCCTAGCCCTGACTGAAACCTGGATCCGTCAGGAAAACACTGCCACACCTGCTGCACTCTCTGCTGCCTCCACCTTCTCCCACACACCCGCAGTGCTGGACGAGGATGTGGTACAAGAGTCCTCACTTCCAAAAAATGGAAGTTCACTAAGCTCTCTCTGCCGAGCAACAACTCCTCATTTGAATACCATGCAATCAGTGTCACTGGACCGGTTAAGCTATATGTTGTTGTCATATATCGTCCTCCAGGGTGTCCGCTGGGAAACTTTGAAGTTGAACTGGACATACTACTCTCAGTCATTCAGGACTATGACACACCACTTGTTGTCATGGGAGATTTGAATATCCACACAGACAAAGCCCAAGGAAATGACTTTCTGTCACTTATGGCAGCGGTCTTCAACCTTTTTTACACCACGGACCGGTTCTAAGCAAGAAATTTTTCTACGGACCGGTCATTGTGCACCTAACAAATAACAATTGTGCTCTTTTTCTATGAAAAAGTTTAATAAATAAATAAAATTACTTTTTATTGCTTAACATGTTTACTTTTTCTCTGTCTCTGTATCAAGTCTCTCCCACTTTCCAAAGCAGCTCTCCTGAGACGTTTGTTTTTGACTGACGGCTTCGTTTAGCAGCCGGGCATAAAAACTGACAGTCAAGTGCGGGAAATGAACACAAACGGAAGTGACGGGAAGACGAGCTAGTCATGTTTCAAAATAAAACACCCTGCAGACTCCGCTGGAAATAAAAATAAACCAATAAAACGTTTTTATTCTATCTGTGTGGCCCGGTACCAAATGACCCACGGCCCGGTACCAGTTCGTGGCTCGGTGGTTGGGGACCGCTGACTTACGGCATCTTTCGACCTGAAGCAGGTCTCTACCCCTCCCACACACAAACCGTGTGACAAGCTTGACCTGATTTTCTGTCGAAACTGCTCCACAACAAATCTGAGTGTCACTCCACTTAATCTGTCAGACCACTAGTTTATTCAATTCACTGTCTCCTTACTGGATGACTCTCCAGTTCCTCCACAAATAGTCTCCTTCTGCCACAACCTTATCAAGGTCTACTAGCATCATTCTCCTCCAGTTTAAAAACTGCTAAGACCAAGTACTATCAGAACAAGATCTGTGGCACAACAGATGCTCGAAAAATATTTTCTGCTTTTAACTCACTCCTCTACCCACTTCCTCCACCCTACACTCTGCTCACTGCAGACGTGTTTGCCTCATTTTTTACGGACAAAGCCATCAGTAACCAGTTCTCTGAGTCTGACCAACTCACTGTTCAGCCGCCAGCTCATAGGGCCACATTTTCCTCGTTCTCCCCCCTGACTGAGGAGGAAGTGTCCAAGCTACTGCTGGACTCTCGTCCTACTACCTGTCCACTGGACCCGACACCATCCAACCTCTTACAAACCATTTCCTCAGCACTTAACCCTGTAATAACACATATCATCAACTCCTCACTTGCTACTGGTGTGTTCCCCGCTACATTTAAGTAAGCTCAAGTCACTCCAATACTCAAAAAAACTACACTTGACCCAGCCCAGGTTGAAAACTACAGACCAGTTTCACTACTGCCCTTTCTGTCGAAACTACTTGAGCGAACTGTCTTCAACCACGTCTCTACTTTCCTCTGTGACAACAATCTGTATGACCTGAATCAGTCTGGTTATAAACGGGGTCACTCTACTGAGACTGCACTCCTATCTACAACAGAATCACTGCGTTCTGCTGGAGCTGCTGGACAGTCTTCAGCTCTATTGCTGCTAGACCTGTCAGCTGCCTTTGACACGGTAAACCACCACATCCTCCTCTCCACACTCACTGAGCTTGGCATCTCTGGATCTGCCCTCCGCTGGTTTGTGTCCTACCGCTTAGGAAGATACTTCAAAGTATCCTGGAGGGGAGAAGTGTCCGAACCGCACAACCTATCTACAGGGGTTCCTCAAGGGTCAGTGCTTAGTCCCCTTCTCTTCTCAATTTACACAACCTCACTTGGTGCAATAATCCAGTCCCATGGTTTCTCATACCATTGCTATGCTGATGATACCCAGCCCTTCCTGTCTTCCCCCCGGACGACCATACGGTCTCTGCCCGGATCTCATCATGCCTTGCAGACATCTCGGCATGGATGAAAAAACACCACCTTCAGCTCAACCTCTCTAAGACTGAGCTCGTCATCCCAGCCAGTCCCTCTCCACAACAAGAAATAAACATCAAGCTTGATTCAACCCAACTCAAACCCACAAAATCTGCCAGAAACTTGGGTGTCATGATTGATGACCAACTAACCTTCAAGGCTCATGTGGCCTCTGTTGCTCAGTCATGTTGATTCGCCCTGTACAACATCAGGAAGATCAGACCTTTCCTGTCTGAACATGCAGCACAACTCCTGGTACAGGCTCTAATAATATCACGCATTGACTACTGCAACTCCATACTGGCAGGCCTCCCCGCGTCCACGGTTAAACCTCTACAGATGATCCAGAATGCACCAGCACGTCTAGTTTTCAACCAGCCAAAAACAGCACGTCATCCCCCCTGTTCAGATTGCTTCACTGGCTTCCAGTTGCTGCCCACATCAAATTCAAAACCCTGACACTTGCTTACAAAACCACAACGAGAACAGCTCCCTCCTACCTGAGCTCTCTCATTGAGGTCTACACCCCCTCCCGCTCACTACGCTCGACCAACAAAACCCACCTGATACAACCACCGCAACAGGGTCCGAGGTCGATAGCTAGACTCTTCTCCTCTCTGGTTCTGCAGTGGTGGAATGAGTTACCAAACTCTGTTCAATCTGCTGATTTCCTCTCAGTCTTTAAGAAAAGACTGAAGACCCAGGTCTTCACTGAACACCTTAGCACTTGACAGCCCGAAAACAAATAAACCAAAAAAAAAAAAAAACATCCTATTACCTCCCACATAACTGCTATTTGCATCAACACCCTGTCACACTTGAATTTGTTCTATGGCACTTATCTAGATTGTTTTCCCCTGACTAGATCCTTGCTTGTGTTGTATCTGCTCTCAGAGGTACGTCGCTTTGGATAAAAGTGTCTGCTACATGAAATTGTAGAATTGTAGAATCGACTGATTTTTTCTTAGGATTGATACCAATTATAGGTAATCAAGGAAGGCCATTAACCCTTATTTGAAACCGATACACATGAAGGCTCGTTATGAATGGCAGGGTCCCTGCTATTACAAGCTGTTAATATGGTAGCAGGGACCCTGTCACTCATAAATTAATGTATGATTGTTGGGGTTCCCTGTTATCATATGTGTTATCATGTGCTGGTAATATATGACTTGCATTTAGTAACAGCATGTGATAACAGGAACCCTGTCTGTCACACAAAACTAGGCTTCCTAATTAATAAGGATTATTAATACTGAATATATACATATATACATTTAATGTTATATATGAACAGCATGTGATAGCAGGGGACCTGTTGTTCATAACTTGGCTTCTTCCCAGTTACTTCTTTAATAATGAGTACTATAATTGACAATGTATGTGGGAGTGATGACATTAGGGTGTCACGTGACACTAGGACGCTCTTTCCAGTTTACTGTAAGATCACTCGACTGAACAGAGTATGTCCTCTTCCACTTGTACTACTGTAAAAGAAGCAAATTTCCTGATTTTTGGCAATGGCTGTGCTTCTTGTTCAGTTTTTGGAGTTTGTGTCTCTGCTTAGAGTGATATCACTGTCAGAGTGTCATCTTACTTAAGAAAAATGTTATTGACTCCAGATAGTGTTAGCCACAAGCTAAGAGGCACAGCAAACGTCATAGAACTGGCCTTAGTCTAGCACCTTTAGCAAAATTAATTCCAGTTACACTGACACCAACAAGTGAATTGTTCTGGCCTTTTAGGGTATTGGGGAAACTAGGCATCCCTGAGTAGATTGCTGTGTTTATTACAAAGTCAGCAACATCACCTTTGAAATACAGTTCCACTCATTCATAACAGGTGCTCCACTCTGCAAATGTGCTTGTCTGTGCCTGCCTGTTAACAGTGGCAGGACACGCCTGAGACAACAGAGTGCAAATAGACAGAGAGCTGCATCAGAGCCAAAGCAGGACATTTAAGGTATTTTGTTAGTAATTGGTTAATAAAAATAATTAAACCAACAATCGGCCAAATGCTAAATATTGGCCTTATTAGTTGGGAACATGCAAACTCCACACAGAGAGATCCCAGGCATCCTAACTGGGAAGCGAACCGGGGATCTTCTAGCTGTTAGGCGACAGTGCTAACCACCTACCCATCGTGCAGGGATGAACCAACATGTCCTTTCAAAATGGTAACAGTTGGAATTGTTCTGGTAGAACATTTGAACATACAAGGAGGCAAAGCATTCTTGTTAAGATTGTCAATTCACTGAACAAATAAAATAAAAGGTCCGTCCTGCTGTATGATCTAAATCATCAGCAAAACTGGAGGGTAGGGATGGTACCAAAACCCTGTTTTTATTATGTGCCCGTGGCAAAACTATTTTAAACTGAAGAATCAATAACTGTGATGTTATTGGTTCTGCTTTCGGTACTAGAGAAATTTAATAAATTGATGTCTTTACTATTATTGTCACATACATATTATCATGCACATTTTTCTCATTAAATCCATTTCTTATTCCTCTACAATGCATTTTTGCTATTACCAAATCCAGAGCACCACTCTCTCACTGCCACAAGTGCAACAAAACTTTCAACCTGTAGAAAAATTCAGCAAAAGATCCTCACATGTGGAGAAAAGCAGTATTCACTGCCAAGCTTGTAGTTTATCTGCCATACACAGAGTTAACTAGATTATTCCAACGTGGGTTAATGATTTAAAGTGACCAATACTCTGCTGATAATTTAGCTATTATCACTCTAAAGTGGACTGTCTCTCCAACAGTTAATTTTAAGTTTGAGAGCGCTTTGAAACAGATTGAACAAGGGCATTTAGTGATTTAGTGGCTGCAGCTAAAGTCTGTCTTCAGACTTCATTGGCTTTATTTTCAGCCTTTCTATACTAACTGAGTGTTGGTCAAAACCTGGGCACATTTGGTCCACCATTTTTGCCTTGCTCCGACAACAACACTTTCTCTCTTTCTGATTTCTCTATTTTGAGCCTCCTCGACTTCTCTGTTCTTGCCTGTGACCCAGAAATTGATCACAGCACGCAATCTTGAAGGCTGTCTCAATTCCTAAAATGAATCGCAAGGAGAAAGAAGGCTTACCAAAGGAGCAATATACATCATTCGTTTTTTATACAGTACGTTTTTGGTGTGTGTTTAATAAAAATAAAAATGTGGCTTTTCTGTACATTACATTGCAGTATCATGCTGTAAATGCAAATAAAATTAAATAGAAACTACAAGTTGTCATTACCAATGTTGTGCTCACATGACAGATGTCACAAAATACAGTGGTAGTCTATAACTAAACAATTGAAAGATGATGTAGCTGTGCCACATGACATACTAAATTGACATGGTTCTGAGGTATGGCTGTCTTGAGGAGCGGAGTTGAAGAAAGGAGTAAAGAATGTAGAAACCAAGAAATTAGAAGAGGGGAGGGTGTTCGTCAGATTTCTAGGAAAATTTAGACTGTTCCGTCATTTATTTATTTATTAAATAATAAGATCGGTAAAATTCCTCTGAAAAGCAGAGATGAGATTGTCTACAATACAAGACCATTAGTGCATCTCTTGTGCGAACAGTTAGACAGTGTTTACCTGTTCCTCTCTTTTTTGTTTCCGTAGCTGAATGCCCTCCTCCTCTCTCCTTCGACGCATCTCTTGAGGATTCAACGCTTTGTTCTTATAGCTCTTCATCCTGTACTTGTCCTTCCCTGGACTTGCCATCATGTCTGAAGAGTAAGGCAGAATGGCAGGGTTTAATGATCCATGTGTCTTCATTCATCAAACTTAAACCTACACAAATGCTAAGGATGTATGACTCTGCAACTACATTTCATTCCACATAACTTCATAAGCAGTTGCAGTTATCATTACATGCTTACTCCATTTATTTGTAAGAATTAAGGTACAAAAAAGTAATCTTGAAGAGGCAAAAATTGACCAACCAAAGACTTTCCATCTGCTGTTTTTAGGGATGTAGAAACAATCACCATAATACTACAATAAAACAATGTATTTTACAATGAGTTCCCAAAGTCACATTCCTATCATACATCATAACCTATACAAAAGGACACCATCTATTTTGGATCAGGGAGCTTTCTTCACACTAGGATAATCTACATTTCATAATTATAATGTTGACAATTTCACATTAGACTGGTCATTTAGATTTTTGAAGCCAGCTTAAAATCCATCTGAAACTGTTGCCAGAGCCACAAGTCCGTAAATAGCAAAGTCATCTATAGTAATGCATACTAATGGACAAATTGACATCTGTAACAGCAGATATATAAAACAAGACATACAGTACATACATGAATCTGGTGCCCCAGTGCATACTTGAAGGGTTCTGTAGTTAAGTTCTCTCAAGTAAGCACAATGTTATTTTAAAAAAAAAATAATAAATTGTTGTCATGATAAATAAATCTATCCCAAAAATTCTTTCAGGGTATTAGATTAGATGGATGCAAATAAAATTGAATGTTTCAGCCTCTGACTCAAGCATGCTAAAAGTGATTTAACCATATTTAAAGAGTAGTGCCCCAGACTGATACAACATGTGTATCAGCCAATCCCTGGAGTAAGTCTAGAGGAAAACGAACTTTGGTTTCAGAGAAGCAAAAATAATAAGTACCCAACAATGACTTTGCCATGTTTGGCTCTACATCAGTTAATCCACTCATGTTGACTCAGTACCTTACAATGATTACACACACTAGATTCAGGATTTTTGACAGGCAGCAAAACTTGGAATTTTTACAGTGCTTATTCAATTCATCTTACTCTTCACCTTCATGCAAGTTCTAACGGCCAACATTGTGTCATTTTAAAGGGTGGCGGAAATACAGGGCACAACAAATCGTAGTGTGACAACTTAGAAGAATTGTGTTCTATTTTCCGGTAATTCAATGAAAAACTGGGATTGCACACAATGACAGTGAACTATCTACTCTTAAACTAATATTTGAAGAATACTTCTTTATTACGTAGTTGGATGTCACCTGTGCTCCAATGACGGAAATGAAGGTCGTGTCAAACTTTCTTCCAATTAGCAGTTAGCCGTTATTCTCGGAGTTTCATCGTAACGTTCATAGTTAGCCGTTCATGCTAAGGCTGCACTGCAGACAATAAAGCAACACATCTACAAAAGCATGACTTGGAGTGAACACGGTCAAACGAACACCAAATGCACACGCTATTGTAATAGAGTAGAACTTGGCTTTACTGAATTTCTGCAGCCAACATTTATCCGTGCAACAGAACAAACTGATTTATACAAACGTTAATCCCACTCTGTGAAACAAGCTTCACAGGCAGCTCATGGGAAAATGCTGCGCTGTGTCACGTATCTCGCGTATAATTTTGGTTAAAAAGACAACAAAACTTGTTTCCGTACCACATTCCCATCACCGTGATTCTTACCCAGTCTCGAATGTACCTAAAATGCGTACAGGTGACGACAAGCCCTGTTGCTCCCCCTCTCTCTTTTAGACCAATATGGCGTTCAACTAAAACTTTCCCAGCAAACCTCTCACATCAACAGTGTCACGCCACTTCCGGTAGCAACTGTCAGTCAGGTCAGTAGGCTGTCAGAACTGCGCAGAGGAAGTGGAAGTGGAAGGCAGAGCCTGACTCCATTACTCCGTGTTTTTTAATATTATTTTTTATTTGCAACCTAACCAAACACTATGCAGCAAGATAAACCAATAACCTCTAATTATTATATGGCTCTGTTACTTCTGTAACCAGTAGTGCAACACACCGTTGCTGGGGACACTGGCGTCCCTAGCAACAGCCCTGTTGATCGATCAGAGGATGTCAGAAGAGATGAGATTCAATATGTAAATATGCAAGACATTTGCCTTATGAATTTATATATATATATATATATATATATAGATATATATAGATATACCGTAATTAACCACCTTCAGAGTAATAGTGATGGTTAAATAAATGAATTGTAACTTTACACGGAGTAATGGAGTCAGGCTCTGCCTTCCACTCACCGGTGGCCAGCTCACGTTACGTTACCTCGACACAAACGCGCTCCGCAACCCGCAAAGTCTTGTCTATGACAGACAAGACTACATAGATAGACATATCGTAACATATATGATAAATAAATATCCACTGGCGTGTGTTTAAAAATCTGCCGTCGTGAGCTTGCAAACTATAGCAGTAAGACTCTATAAGACTAAGAGTAAGACTCCAATAACCGCATATTATCTAAAATAGTATTTTTTTCTGTAATATATAAATAAATACTGGATACACACGTCATTTATACTATACCTGTGATGCCTCAGTGGAGCTGGTAGCTCCACCCGGAACACCGTTGTCAGCCGACTAGGACATCTTCTTTGAGAGATATCTGAAAGTGGCCTCTCACTCAATTTTCAACTTGCAAGAGATGTATTTAAAATTTCTATTGGGTAAAAAATCATGAAAATGTTGGAATTCCAGCTTTACAAATGGCAGATGTCAGTTTCAGATAAAAAAGATCATTCCAACAAAGTTTTAACAAATTCTGAGATGGTCAAGCAACCACCTTCACTGAATTGACACAGAATGATCATATTATCCAGAGGGGCATAAAACCTGATGGATCTCTTAGGACATATTACACACATGGACAAAACTGTTGGTACCTCTCAGTTAATGAAAGAAAAACCCACAGAACGGTCACAGAAATAGCTTGAATCTGACAAAAGTAATAATAAATAAAAATTCAATGAAAATTAAGCAATGAAAATCAGACATTACTTTTGAACTGTGGTTCAACAGAATTAACTCATGAAACAGGCCTGGACAAAAATTATGGTACCCCTAGAAAAGACTGAAAATAATGTGACTTGTCATGCCCTCGACTTCTGGTGCAGCTGGATCCCTTTTTCCTCCCTCTTTGGCTCTCGCTCTCTTGTTCTCTCTCTCTCTCTCTCTCTCTCTCTCTCTCTCTCTGTCTCCCTCTCTCAGGCGGGCCTCAGCACGGCTGGCGGCGGAGCATGCAGAGAGGTGTACCAGATCACTAATCAGCAGATTGAGGCTGCGGGATTGGCCCGTTTCAGCTACAACCTTTCAGTCCACCGGGATTTCAGCAGTGGTCGGACCATGACGCCAGGCCGTCGTTCCATGCAGTCAGTAATAGTTTTGCATTCGTCTAGCCGTTTTCCTGCTCTACTAGCTCTAATTCCTGTTTTTTATCTATCCAGCTGGATCTGTCGCCGTCCGCCACCACCTCCAAAGTTCCACCACTCACCGACCATCTCCCACCTCGCCGCCGCCGATCTGCAACCGTACTCCGCACCACACCTGTCTGTCCTCGTTCCTGGTTCAGTCGTCCTCCGGTTCTCTCCGTTGCCAGCTGTTGCTTCCCCGCACTCTCCTCGTATTGAGCCAGTTAAGCCTGTTACCGTTCTGTCAGTAGTTTTTTGCATTTACCGTAATTTAGCATGTTTCTTAGTTCGTCATAAATTTGTTGTGTTTCTGTGCCTCGCCTGTGTGCTCTTTATTTAGCTCAGTTGTTCTAGTCCGTCAGTGAGTTCCTGTTTGCTTTCCTCTGTTAGTTTTTCTGTTAGCCAGTCCGTTTTCTCAGTATTTCGGTCTGAGCAGCTTTTGTTAGTGTTACTTTTCAATCAGTTCTTTCAGCACTTTAGTCTGAGCACCTTCTGTTGCATTTTCCTTTTCTTTTCAGTCAGTCTTCTCAGCATTGTAGTCTGAGCTCCTTTAGTTAACGTTTGGTTATCAGCCTGCCAGTTTCTCAGCACCTAGTTGAGCTCTTTGAGTTATGTAGAATATTGACTGTGAGTGCAGTGCATATTCAGGATTGACCCCTCAGGGACACCGTAGGTTTTTACACATGCGCAGTGTGTGTGTTGTTACGCGGATGTACGTACCTGCCACTGGTATACCTCCTGCCCGTTGTTACATTAAAATATAAATTCAGACGTTACCCAGTTACACAACCGCAATAACACAACATGCAACATGGTGTCAGAAGTCTAGGACTTATATTTTACATTGACTGCTACGTGTTGTGAGTATTTCATGAGTGGGACCATCGTGCTACCATGCGAATTTCTTCTCACCATGGCAGACGGCTTCAGACGACCCGACCTGCTTGTGTTCGATGGCAACATAGACATTTTTATTGCTGCAGCGCACTTGGACAAGCCAGCGCAGACTCAAGCCTACATTCTGCTGAACCGGGCTGGACCCAAAGCCATCGAGCGCGAAAGATCTTTTGTTTACGCTGTGGAGGTCCGTGCATCGGGAGAAAGTGGATGTGTTCTTGTTCCTGCCGAGTCCAAGGAGGACCCAGAATGCCTCAAAAGAAAGTTGAGAGAAATGTGTAACCCTCAAACAAACAAAACGATGGAAAGACACAAATTCAACACACGTTGCCAAAACGCAGGTGAGACTATTGAATCCTGTGTAAGCGATTTGAGAATCAAGAGCTGCAACTTTGGTGAGCTGTTTGAAGAGCTTATAAGAGACAGGCTAGTCTGTGGCATAAATAACGACCATCTCAGAAAAGTCCTGTTGCGTGACAGTGATCTGACTTTAGCCAAGGCCATTTCAGTGTGTCAGATTCGTGAAATGACTGAAGTGCATAACAAAACATTAATGTCCCCACATAGCCCTGTAACGAATGTGGATGCTGATCAAACCAGACATGTCAACGAATGTGGATGCTGTTCAAACCAGACACGTCAAGAGAAGGGGGTCAAGAGACTATGACAAGGCCAAGTTCAACACAAATACAAACTCACCTCAGTTCATTAGTGGCTGTAATAACTGTGGTGGTAATCACATAGCAAAGATAGACAAATGCCCAGCTTATGGCCAACAGTGCAATGCTTGCAAGAAAATGAACCACTTCAGAAAGTGCTGCAAGTCCAGATCGAAGTTTGACAGGCATAGGCGAAAAAAGTCAGTCCACCACGTGGACATGGAAAAAGAGGACAATGACAGTGAAACCCACTATGTGAATGGAATTACACTGGACATGACAGTGGATTCTGCTTGTGCACAGACACAGGAAAAAGAAAAGGCTTTCACTACTCTACAGATCAATGGCAGCACAGTTGAAATGAAAGTGGACACGGGTGCAAAGTGCAATGTCCTCTCAGCACAGACTTTGGACCGGGTGAAGAAAAGTGAACAAATAAAGCCATGCAGTAAACCAACCAACTTTGTTGCTTATGGTGGTAGCAAGATACAGACTCAGGATTCGTTGAGTTATGCTGCCATTTAGGGGCCGAATGGTATACTCTTCCATTCTTCATCATTAATGAGAATGTGCTACCATTGGTTGGGCTTAGTGCTTCATTAAAGATGGGACTTGTATCTCTCAGCAAAGAAATCCACCAAGTGAGTAGCTCCGCTGTTCAAGATTTCTCTCAGCAAATCAAAAATGAATATAGTGACCTTTTTGCAGATGAACGTGGAAAGCTACCAGTCACATATTCAATGACACTTGAGACAGAGGTGAGACCTGTAGTTCGCCCTGCACACCGCATTCCAGTTGCAATGAAAGAACAAGTCAAAGCTGAACTGGACAGAAGGCAAGAATTAGGTGTCATTGCACCAGTCTCTGAGCCCACTGACCAGACACCACTATGACACTGACCATATCCACTATGGTTGCTACCAACAAAAAGGACAAAAAAGAAATCGGAATCTGCATCAATCCAAAAGACTTAAACACCGCACTGAAGCGACCGCATCACCCTTATGCGTACAGTTGAAGAAGTTGCTTCGCAAATGTCTAATGCTGCAGTTTTCTCAATCCTAGATGCAAATAACTCATTCTGGCAAATCTCCCTCGACCATAAATCCTCAATGATAACCCCTTTTAGCGCATGTTTTGGTCGTTACAGATTCCTACGGATGCCATTTGGAATCAGCTCTGCTAGCGAAATGTTCCAGTGCTCCATGGAGCAGATCTTCGCTGGTTACCCCTGTGCAATCATTGTGGATGATATACTTGCTGGAGGCTGTGCTGTCTTTGAAGTTGATATGTGTAAGTTGATTAAAAATATAAGTTAAATAAGTTAGTTAAAAAGTAGGATTAAAAAGTTAAAAAGTTGTTTTTTGTAGTTCTTTGAAAATCTGTCAGAGTGAGCGCTCTGTGCGTTGTATTTGGTTTCTGAATTTGCGGCAGAGTGAGCCATTTACCAATACATTGTGAACTATCTTTGTTGTGTGATTGTGTATTTATTGTTATTTTATTTCTATTTTCAGTTTTACAAGATGTTCGAAAGCTAAAAAGAACAGTAAATGCCAAGGAAAACAAGCCTTGTGTGTTTATTGAATACAGCTCGAACATGTTAACTGGCTGTCTGGCAGCGCAAAGCTGATGCAGTGTGAGGGCAGCACAATAAAAAGGAATTGTCACGGCGGGCTCAAGCACAACAACACCTTTATCAGCAAACATGAGTCTACGCTCTGGAAAAGGTTACCTTAAAGAAGACACCACTATGCAGCAAAATGGAGCTAGCGGAGGTCAAGCAA